ATACCTGTTCTTTCACTGTTGTATTCCTTCTGATGTGACGGTGGAGTAGCTTTGGTTCGGTCTTGGCTTTGTTTGCTATATCATTTTCAAAACTTTTCTCTGCTTCTCTTCTCACCCTGACGTACACATTCCTGTGTGTGTTTGTGCGCGCGCGCGCGCGCGCGCGTGTGTGTGTACTCACCTAATTGTGCTTACGGGGGTTGAGCTCTGGCTCTTTGGTCCCGCCTCTCAGTTAACTGTCAATCAACTGGTGTACAGGTTCCTGAGCCTACTGGGCTCTATCATACCAACATTTGAAACTGTGTATGGAGTCAGCCTCCACCACATCACTTCCTAATGCATTCCAGCTGTTAACTACTCGTTTGTGTTTGTTTGTTTGTTTGTTTGTAGCCATAATCTGTGCGTATGTTATGCCCAATCTGTGTTTGTGTGTGTGTGTGTGTGTGTGTGTGTGTGTGTGTGTGTGTGTGTGTGTGTGTGTGTGTGTGTGTGTGTGTGTGTGTGTGTGTGTGTGTGTGTGTGTGTGTGTGTGTGTGTGTGTACACCAAGGTGTGCATTTGTGTACGAGGCTGTGTGAAGACATTCTGATAATCGGGTCCCCTCTTGAATATCTGTTCTTCTCATTAAGGCCATTTAACCTTTGGAGGAGAGATCTGCTACCGTCATCTACCCATGGGAGAGGGAACTGCTACCATCATCTATCCGTGGGAGAGGGAACTGGTCCCGTCATCTTCCCATGGGAGAGGGAACTGCTCCCGTCATCTACTCGTGGGGGTGGGAGGCTCTCCCGTCATCTACCCATGAGGGAGGGAGGTGCTACCATCATCTACCCATGAGGGAGGGAGGTGCTACCATCATCTACCCATGAGGGAGGGAGGTGCTACCATCATCTACCCATGTGGGAGGGAGGTGCTACCATCATCTACCCATGAGGGAGGGAGGTGCTACCATCATCTACCCATGAGGGAGGGAGATACTACACACATATTTATATATTATAGCTATGTGAGGTATATATACCGGCGTGATGGAAACCCAAGTGGAATTTATCCCGACGGTGAAATACAATATGAGTGAAGTATATATGTGATAAGAACACGCACATAATTATAATTAATACACTGCCCTTGGTGACCAGCTCGATTTATCGATTGGCCACTATAAAAATGCAGCTGTTATGCCTTACCAGAAACTTACAAACTCAAGTAAGTCACCTGACCTATCGAAGCCGATGCTTAGAAAACGTTAATATTACCATGCTTTAAATTTAACTAATACATCTGGATTTAATGAATTGATCTATTTCGTGAAAAAAGTGACTAACATGTTGCTATACTCGTCAGTACTGTTGCCAGACTTCGCCAAGGCCTGTGATGGCGGATTTTAGGAAAATAGTTAATTACGTGTTGTTATTCAACAATTCTTCCTGATTGAACTCGTCCTTTCAATCAGTCGCGTTCTTTACGGATCATCTAATCCAAATGTACTCACTAGAAAGAAGACGAGAGAGATACCAAATAATATACACCTGGAAGATATTGGAGGGTCTAAGTACCAAATCTACACAGTAAAATAACAACGTACTGGAGTGAACGATATGGAAGAAAATGCAGAATAGAACCAGTGAAGAGCAGAGGTGCCATAGGCACAATCAGAGTACACTGTATAAACATCAGAGGTCCGCGGTTGTTCAACGTCCTCCCAGCAAGCATAAGAAATATTGCCGGAACAACCGTGGACATCTTCAAGAGAAAACTTGATTTATTCCTCCAAGGAGTGCCGGACCAACCGGGCTGTGGTGGGTATGTGGGCCTGCGGGCCGCTCCAAGCAACAGCCTGATGGACCAAACTTTCACAAGTCAAGCCTGGCCTCGGGCCGGGCTTGGGGAGTAGAAGAACTCCCAGAACCCCATCAACCAGGTATCAGGTATCTTTAAAAATGTGATGTATTAGTAAAAAAATAATAATAAAGTTTTCTATGCATCGGCTACGAAGTTGTAACTGCCACGTGTTTACAAATCAAATAAACTCGCCTTTTTCAAATTTTGGAGCGAATCTTGTAATATCTCCGGGCGCTTAGTGCCCAGACCTTTGATGTCAGGTCAAAGGCCACTTTCAGGAAGCTTCCTTCACAAATTCTCTACGAAACTGTTGGCATTTCTGTAACACCAGCATTGTAGTTACGCGAATTTTTTAATTTAATATTATTTAGAGATTGTCTTATTTAAGTTTTCTTTCGATTTTGTGTGTCTAGCAGTCTTTATTTTAATCTTGAATCATCGGCGTAAATATAACCTATATAAAAGGAAATATCTGTCGGTCCAAGAGTACAAGCCTAACGCTCCGGCGGCTAGTTTGCAGCCTCATCCAACTTTGTAGTGTGACTGAAGGGTGGTAGGGGACCTCGATAGGTCGAAGTCGTCCCCATTGTCCCCTTCAAATAAGGTGGGCTCCTATTGCGACTCCCATGATCCCTCATGAAGTCTGAGCTTTTTTTGTATCCCAAGAGTGTTTCCGTTGTTTTATTATTATTGTAAGTTTGGGTTGTGGGGCTGTTATGTCTTGAATGGTGCGACCTTCCTGTTTGACTCTGGCATCACCGGGTACCCCAGCTGGTATTTATTTAATAACATTCATGTATACTCACAGAATCATATTAATATTCCAATGTATCCTCAGTGTAGCATTATTATTCCAATGCATCCTCAGGGCAGCATTAATATTCCAGTACATCCTCAGTGTAGCATTAATACTGAGAAGACAGCAGTAAGAGGAGAGCGCTCGAGCACATAATTAACAACAGGTGTTAGTTGCATTGTTCAATGCTCTATTTTGCAGGTACATCAATAAGTAATGAATCGGGCAGCTTCTCCAACACCTTCTCTTCTGCCAGACTTACATGGGCCAAAACTTGGCCAAACTTGCGCCTAAGTTGGCTGCAATGAAGACAGATGAGGCCGGGTGTGCGAATGGCAGTAAAATGTCGTCTCTCATTCCCCGGAGCTCCAAGAGATTGATGATGTAATCTGAAAAACTCTAGAGATGACCACAGTGCCAGAAGGTTGTAACTTGAGTCTTGGGAGGGGGGTACATACTGGTGGGGGGGGGGGGGGGGGAGGGGATTGTGGTGGTGATGACTGTGGTGGTAGTAGTGGTGATTCTCGTGATGATGGCGGTGGAGTGATTGTGGTGATGATATTGGTGGTGGTGGGAGTGATTGTTGTGATGATGGTGGTGGGATGATTGTGGTAAAGGTAGTGGGGGTGATTGTGGTGATGGTGGGAGGATTGTAATAGTGACGGATCGTGTTAAAGTGGGGGATGGTAGTGGTACTGGTCCAACAAGGTGGTGGAGACATGATGGTGGCTAACCCATAAGGTAGTGGTGGTGGTAGTTCTCCTACAAGATAATAGTGGTGGTGGTGGTGGTGGTTGTCGCACTAGGTAATAGTGGTGGTGTTGGTGGTTGTAGACACCATGGTTGCCTTGGTTGGTAGCTCTTGCGGGGGGTTGAGCTATAGCTCTTCGGTCCCGCCACAGTGTTGTAATGGTGTAACTACTCTATTATATGATTACTATGAAAGTGAACATCTGCGAATGTTGAAGTACATTTAGTACCGGTAAAGAGTATAATCAGTGTATTATTAAGTGCACCCTGAGAGGGCAGTATAGAGGTTGTTGGTGAGTACACTTGGTACTGTCCTGGGGCCAGATTTACAAAGCAGTTACGCAAGCACTTACGAACCTGTATATCTTTTTTCAATCTTTAGCGGCGTCTCCTTAAACAGTTAATGAGCTCCGAAGCAACAGGAGGCTGTTTATAACAATAACAACAGTTGACTGGGATGTTTTCTTGCATGTAAACTATTTAATGAATGTAACCAAAGCCGTCAAAGATTGACGAAAGATGTACACGTTCGTAAGTGCTTGCGTAAGAGCTTCGTGAATCTGGCCCCTGATGTGCCTGTCCCCCAGAGGGTGTCCTGGTGCCTCTCCTCATTGACCTGGGCGACACTTCAGAGACAGGCTGTTATTGTTTGAGCTCTGAGGAGCAACACTTGTGTATTTTCATATCATTTAAGATAAGAATGTCGTCATTGTGAATTGCGATTATTATTATTATTATTTTATTATTATTTTTATTATTATTATTATTATTATTATTATTATTATTATTATTATTATTATTATTATTATTATTATTATTAGTGTATCACATTTATTTGACTTGTATATATCATGGTTTAAAGTGACTTTATATTTGTTAGTCCAGGTGGGGATTTTGACGTTTGCTAAGTCATTTGGGATTTAACTTTTTGTTTCAGTGGTTACTGACTTTGAAATCTGCCTGCTCATGGGGACTTAAGTTTTGAGTAAGTTCCAGTGACTCTAACTTTGTTGAGTCTGTTGACTTTTGACATTGATAGTCCATAGTGACTGTATAGTTTTGATAAAGTTCACATTGACCCCGACCTGTGATAACTTAACTTAGCCGCATTTTAAATGCAGTCTAGTGCACCAATGTTACTGAGTTGTATGTCAATTAAGCTGGTGTGTAGTTTAACTTAGCTTCATCTAGCCAAGTGTAACGTATCAGTGTTGTAATATTAATATATCTGGTGCTTGAGGAGTTTAACTTAGCACCATCTAAGTTCCAGTTTGGAGTGCCAATGATTACTAAGTTTCATGTAGTTTGTACATATATAAATAGCTTATTATACTATTGATTTTCACCCAGTAAACTGATGGCTCTTTTCCCTTAGGCTTTATATAACCCTAGAATATTGGATTGAATTATTTGAGGCCAGGAGAACCTATAACATGAGAATAGGGAAGTCCACACCACGAGTCTTCCTGTGTGGCATGTAGCATCACCAAGAGATAGTCATTTGTATTTGTAATACTGTTTGTGAAGAGAAAGAGAGAGATAGATAGAGAGAAATAGAGAGGTAGAGAGAGATAGAGAGGTGCATGACGCTAAGGGAGAGTGTTGTGTTACAGGGGCTGTACAGACGTCACCTGAAGACGGTGCTGGTGAGCCTGGTGTTGGCTACCCTCCTCGCACTCCTCATCTACACGGCGCCCAGCCCCACCTTCATCCTCTCTACCACACACGCCGTGCTCAGGTCAGTCCTGACTACCACACACACCGTGCTCAGGTCAGTCCTCTCTACCACACACACCGTGCTCAGGTCAGTCCTCTCTACCACACTCGCCGTGCTCAGGTCAGTCCTCTACCACACACATCGTGCTCAGGTCAGTCCTCTCTACCACACTCGCCGTGCTCAGGTCAGTCCTCTCTACCACACTCGCCGTGCTCAGGTCAGTCCTCTACCACACACACCGTGCTCAGGTCAGTCCTCTCTACCACACACACCGTGCTCAGGTCAGCCCTCTACCACACACACCGTGCTCAGGTCAGTCATCTCTACCACACACGCCGTGCTCAGGTCAGTCCTCTACCACACACACCGTGCTCAGGTCAGCTCTCTCTACCACACACACCGTGCTCAGGTCAGTCCTCTACCACAAACACCGTGCTCAGGTCAGTCCTCTACCACACACACTGTGCTCAAGTCAGTCCTCTACCACACACACCGTGCTCAGGTCAGTCCTCTACCACACACACCGTGCTCAGGTCAGCCCTCTACCACACACACCGTGCTCAGGTCAGTCCTCTACCACACACACCGTGCTCAGGTCAGCTCTCTCTACCACACACACCGTGCTAAGGTCAGTCCTCTACCACACACACTGTGCTCAAGTCAGCTCACCGTGCTCAGGTCAGTCCTCTACCACACACACCGTGCTCACCGTGCTCAGGTCAGTCCTCTACCACACACACCGCTCAGGTCAGCTCTCTCTCAGGTCAGCCCTCTACCACACACACCGTGCTCAGGTCAGTCCTCTACCACACACACACCGTGCTCAGGTCAGCTCTCTCTACCACAAACACCGTGCTCAGGTCAGTCCTCTACCACACACACCGTGCTTAGGTCAGTCCTCTACCACACACACCGTGCTCAGGTCAGCCCTCTACCACACACACCGTGCTCAGGTCAGTCCTCTACCACACACACCGTGCTCAGGTCAGTCCTCTACCACACACACCGTGCTCAGGTCAGTCCTCTCTACCACACACACCGTGCTCAGGTCAGCTCTCTCTACCACACACACCGTGCTCAGGTCAGTCCTCTACCACACACACCGTGCTCAGGTCAGCCCTCTACCACACACACCGTGCTCAGGTCAGTCCTCTACCACACACACCGTGCTCAGGTCAGCTCCTCTACCACACACACCGTGCTCAGGTCAGTCCTCTCTACCACACACACCGTGCTCAGGTCAGCTCCTCTACCACACACACCGTGCTCAGGTCAGTCCTCTACCACACACACCGTGCTCAGGTCAGCCCTCTACCACACACACCGTGCTCAGGTCAGTCCTCTACCACACACACCGTGCTCAGGTCAGCTCTCTCTACCACACACACCGTGCTCAGGTCAGTCCTCTACCACACACACCGTGCTCAGGTCAGTCCTCTACCACACACACCGTGCTCAGGTCAGCTCTCTACCACACACACCGTGCTCAGGTCAGTCCTCTACCACACACACCGTGCTCAGGTCAGTCCTCTCACCGTGCTCAGGTCCTCTCTACCACACACACCGTGCTCAGGTCAGCTCTCTCTACCACACACACCGTGCTCAGGTCAGTCCTCTACCACACACACCGTGCTCAGGTCAGTCAGTCCTCTACCACACACACCGTGCTCAGGTCAGCTCTCTCTACCACACACACCGTGCTCAGGTCAGTCCCTCTACCACACACACCGTGCTCAGGTCAGCTCTCTCTACCACACACACCGTGCTCAGGTCAGTCCTCTACCACACACACCGTGCTCAGGTCAGCTCTCTCTACCACACACACCGTGCTCAGGTCAGTCCTCTACCACACACACCGTGCTCAGGTCAGCTCTCTCTACCACACACACCGTGCTCAGGTCAGTCCTCTACCACACACACCGTGCTCAGGTCAGTCCTCTACCACACACACCGTGCTCAGGTCAGTCCTCTACCACACACACCGTGCTCAGGTCAGTCCTCTACCACACACACCGTGCTCAGGTCAGTCTCTCTACCACACACACCGTGCCGTGCTCAGGTCAGTCCTCTACCACACACACCGTGCTCAGGTCAGCTCTCTCTACCACACACACCGTGCTCAGGTCAGTCCTCTACCACACACACCGTGCTCAGGTCAGTCCTCTACAGGTCAGTCCTCTACCACACACACCGTGCTCAGGTCAGCTCCTCTACCACACACACCGTGCTCAGGTCAGTCCTCTACCACACACACCGTGCTCAGGTCAGTCTCTCTACCACACACACCGTGCTCTGCTCACCACACACACCGTGCTCAGGTCAGTCCTCTACCACACACACCGTGCTCAGGTCAGCTAAGGTCAGTCCTCTACCACACACACCGTGCTCAGGTCAGTCCTCTACCACACACACCGTGCTCAGGTCAGTCCTCTACCACACACACCGTGCTCAGGTCAGTCCTCTACCACACACACCGTGCTCAGGTCAGTCCTCTACCACACACACCGTGCTCAGGTCAGTCCTCTACCACACACACCGTGCTCAGGTCAGTCCTCTACCACACACACCGTGCTCAGGTCAGTCCTCTCCTCTACCACACACACCGTGCTCAGGTCAGTCCTCTACCACACACACCGTCTCAGGTCTACTCACACACACACCGTGCTCAGGTCAGTCCTCTACCACACACACCGTGCTCAGGTCAGTCCTCTACCACACACACCGTGCTCAGGTCAGTCCTCTACCACACACACCGTGCTCAGGTCAGTCCTCTACCACACACACCGTGCTCAGGTCAGTCCTCTACCACACACACCGTGCTCAGGTCAGTCAGTCCTCTACCACACACACCGTGCTCTACCACACACACCGTGCTCAGGTCAGTCCTCTACCACACACACCGTGCTCAGGTCACACCACACCGTGCTCAGTCAGTCAGTCCTCTACCACACACACCGTGCTCAGGTCAGTCCTCTACCACACACACCGTGCTCAGGTCAGTCCTCTACCACACACACCGTGCTCAGGTCAGTCCTCTACCACACACACCGTGCTCAGGTCAGTCCTCTACCACACACACCGTGCTCAGGTCAGTCCTCTACCACACACACCGTGCTCAGGTCAGTCCTCTACCACCTCTAACTCTTCCTTAACATCACCCTTTGTATGTCTCCTTATCTTTGTAGTTATCCTTATCTTTGTATTTCTCCTTATCCTTGTAGTTCTCTTTATCTTGTATTCTCCTCATCCGTGTATTCATCCTGATACAGCATTATATGTCTAATTTTCAAGGTATATGTATATGTATATGTATGAATGGGTCTTATGAAAATCCCGATAAAATAGTTTTAGGATTGACAAATTTTCCGCCTTAAATCTGTCTGTATCTGTAGTCGTGGATGCGACTCGAACATTGGAAGTGAAGAAATACACTGTTCGAGAAGGTTCGAACGTCATCAGTTTGAGTCGTGGGTAAAGTGTGTAAATAGTGAGTCACTGTTGTAAGGATGTGCTGGCTTCTGTCAGCGTGGGGAGAGCCGGGTTCAGACTGAGGGAAGTAATTCAGTTTATTTCCTTACTATGTTCCTCCCATAGCCATCCCGTGGGCGGTAGTGGAAAGGGTTACAGAGGCATATTATGGGTTTCAGGAACTGAACCTCATTATGTTCAGGATTATGTATGGGGTTCAGGAACTGAACCCCATACTTCGTTTAGCTGAGCAAGTGACAATCGTTTGAAGCTTGTTACACAATTGTTAATGTTATATACACATACATATATATATATATATATATATATATATATATATATATATATATATATATATATATATATATATATATATATATATATATATATATATATATATATATATATACAATCATTAACTCAAATACATATACATATCAGTAATCTTTTTATAATACAAGTGATTCAACAAGAGGCTCACAACAGTCACTATACAAAGCACTCTACATCTATGGTGAGTCACACAGTTACTAGTCTTGCTCCACACCCACCCAACTGGGCGGCAGCTTTACAGTCATGTGCTCCACACCCACCCAACTGGGCGGCAGCTTTACAGTCATGTGCTCCACACCCACCCAACTGGGCGGCAGCTTTACAGCCATGTGCTCCACACCCACCCAACTGAGCGGCAGCTTTACAGTCATGTGCTCCACACCCACCCAACTGGGCGGCAGCTTTACAGTCATGTGCTCCACACCACCCAACTGAGCGGCAGCTTTACAGTCATGTGCTCCACACCACCCAACTGAGCGTCAGCTTTACAGTCATGTGCTCCACACCCACCCAACTGGGCGGCAGCTTTACAGCCATGTGCTCCACACCCACCCAACTGAGCGGCAGCTTTACAGTCATGTGCTCCACACCCACCCAACTGGGCGGCAGCTTTATAGTCAAATGCTCCCCACCCACCCAAATGGGCGGCAGCTTTACAGTCATGTGCTCCACACCCACCCAACTGGGCGGCAGCTTTACAGTCATGTGCAGGCTGCACCTACAGTAAGCAAATTGTGGATACTTCGCTAAGATTCCCGGCAGCACATCATTATGAATGAAGTACTTACACATTTCTTGGACTCATAGATAACACAATCAGAGGGAAATAAAAGAAGTTTTAATTCAACCAATGAGAACTAAAGCTTTCTAAACGCATTCTAGATATATAGAAATGTGGCCACCACACCTCTTATTCACAGTCACTCCTCGTTCTTTATATTCCTGGTTTCTTTTACCTGTTCAATGATGAACTCTACACACATTAAAGAGGACAAAAATATTTTGGTCGGTCACAAACTATACCTAATTTCGTAACTAGGAAATATGGCACTCAGGAACAATATCAAGAGTGGCAAGGTCATATGTGACGAGGTCAGGGGTACCAGGCACACACACATATGACAAGGGGTCCAGTTTTGTAGCTTCCATTATATAGAATGTAGGGCTAACCTCGTTAAACAAGGTCAATACGCAAATTTTATATACCTCCCCGCCTGGGG